TGGAAAGGCTGCGTAGCACTAAATTAGACGCTGCTTAACACATGCCGAACAATGGCAGATCGCTGCAATGTTGTGAACTCAGCGCAAGGTCAGTGCTTTTTCCACAGGCGTGGTTGCCTGGTTGCTTGTCATTGTGCGCAGGAGTGATACAGCTTATGGCTGACAGTGCACTCCAGGAACAAGGCAAATTTGAGCATTGCTCCTGCGAAAGATAGAGATTGGTCTAATTGAGCTAGGCCGTGTCCAGCTGCTGCCATTGGCACCTCTCCTTCAGCCAGCTTTGCCCCTCGCCTTACGAGCCAGGCCACCAGGGGCCTTTTTTCCAAGGCGCTCTCCTTCATAGGAGTCCAGGAGGGCCGCAATCAGCGAGGTGTACTGCGCAAGCGGGGAGTGGAGAACCGGTCGGAAGTCCAAGATAAGATGCGTCTTGAGAGCGTTCTGTCGAGCCGAGCAGTGCGCGACCAGATGGATCACAGCCTCATGCGGCGATTCGCCGAAGTCCTCGATCAGCTTGATGAAGGCCTTGAACTGTGCAGTGTCAATGCCTGGTGGCTTTTGTTGAGACTGGGCCAGCTGGACGAGCATTGCTCCCGCTGTGAAGTGTGCACATGAACCCAGTGGGTGCGCTTTCCCTGGCGTGTGGCCTTTCTGCCACGCGGTCACGGCCTTCGCTAGGGCCTGTGCCAGGGGGGCGTCCGTGGGTAGCTTGTACACCAGCGAGGCTTGGAGTTGTAGTAGGGCAAGCTGTTCTTCATGTAGTAGGAAGCCTTGAGTGAGCTCGGCGTTGGAGAGGGCGTGCAGGGCCCTGCCTGGCCGCTGCTTGCCGCTGCCGGTCGCTTGGCGTCGAGCATCGACACCAAAAGACTCTGACGGTTCGCCCATCAATGAATCTGAAGCTAGGGGAGATGTGGTGCGACCACGTTTGTGGTCTGGGCTGTGGATCTTGTCAGCCATGCTGGGTCAGCCTGAAAAAGCTGCGGGTAAGCCTGCGCATGCCTAAAGCATGCTTGGCCTTGACGTGGGGGGGGCCATGCCCACCTATTGTGGGGTCCGGCCTTCCCACGCACAGGCACCCTAGTGGTGCACGCATTCCTAGACTGGGAGGGCCAGCACTCACCCCTTGAGGGTGAGTCAGAGTCACTCCTGTCTTCTCAAGAAAAGGAGGTAACATTCTTTGTTTGGGGGTTTTCCAAAAGGAAAGACCTAGGGGCCAGCGAAGTAGCGCGTTAAGGGCGAAGCCCATTAAACTTGACATACAAACATGTCTTAACGAATGCACAGCTCAAGTCGGCACAACATGAGAGTGGATGCAAAGGCGGCTCACATCTTTTTCAACGGTCGGGGCATGCATCGAGTTCGTTTGGAGTTCTATGCATCAGGCACTGAAGGACACGGTGTGCAGCCCCCCGTGGGGGCACGAATGCACAAGACGAAGTGTCCGACCGAAAGCACCCCCCTTCCATTATTCAAGGGAGAGGAGGGCGGGAAGAAAAAGTTCACAATGCGATTGCCCGAGCTTGATGTGAAAGCGGTGCGCGGGCACTCTTCAAAGCATGTACAAGTTTACAAGTGAAATCATGTCGACAGGAAGGAACGGACGTTGTTCCATAAAAAGGTACAAAAGTCATCATGTAAATTCCATGACGATTTCATACAAAAGATTCTGAACTGTTGTTGTTGGTTTGGAATGTCAGCAACCAAAGCTTGGACAAATGGAAAACCGCTCGTTACCTCGCTGCCCCACCCAAAGAAAGGTATATCAACTTCGTTGACGCTGACCTTCTTTGTTTGGGGGTTTTCCAAAAGGAAAGACCTAGGGGCCAGCGAAGTAGCGCGTTAAGGGCGAAGCCCATTAAACTTGACATACAAACATGTCTTAACGAATGCACAGCTCAAGTCGGCACAACATGAGAGTGGATGCAAAGGCGGCTCACATCTTTTTCAACTGTCGGGGCATGCATCGAGTTCGTTTGGAGTTCTATGCATCAGGCATTGAAGGACACGGTGTGCAGCCCCCCGTGGGGGCACGAATGCACAAGACGAAGTGTCCGACCGAAAGCACCCCATAGGCACTCGGGCACTAGTCTTTTGCAGCAGCTATTGCCAGTATCGAAGTTGGCCCATCATCACGAAGGGGTTTGAAATCGCCCATCGGGTCGAAGTTTTCCAACTCCGGCGGCATACATAAGCTGCCTGCATGTCGTCCGTCAAGAAGCCTAATGCAATCGTTGATGCGCCCCCTCGAAGGGAGATCGGCTGGGTTAGAGGTCGAAGGCACCCTCTCTATCCAAGGATAGTGGGGGTGGTCCAGATCCCACGTGTGAAATGACGAGGCCAAGGATTGCATCGAGGGTACTCCCGATACCGCTCGGATGAGCGCGAATCGGGCACTTTCGTTATCGATGAAGTAAATGCATTTTCTGCCGGTCAGTCGGTAGCGTTCACGGTGGCGGATGCAGACTGCTGCGGCCAATTCAGCCTGGCATATGATCTGCTCGTCGTCATAGCGTTGCCACGATGACACCAAAGACGAGGGGAGAACTCCGTCATAAATGGAAGCCGGGCCACCCATCGTGTCGATGACGACGGCGCCAACGGTTGCTAACCCCTTCTCGAAAGCAGCATCAGTGAAGATAAGAATAGGAGCATCCGGGGAGTGCCACGACACTCTCCTCGGACGAGCCCCTCGCAGGAGATCGCGAATTCGCTCACACAAGCTCTTAATCTCACCGGAGCTCGAAGAGCTCAGGGCTCGCGAAAGGGGAGCGACGGCTCGACCAAGAACGAAGTTCGATGCAAAGTTGAGCTGACCCTGTACCACAGGAACTAATCGGAAGTCACCCCGGCCGCTGCCCAACTCGTCCAGCAGCTCGGTGATGTGCTCGATCCGCCGAGGCTTGTTGCGGACCTCCAAGAAGCCGAAAGGTCCGGCCAGGCCCGACAAGTCAAGGGTGCAGCCCAACACATCGAAAGTGGAATCGAAATCTCGCGCCTTATCTGGATCTGTAGAGAACCTCCAACCGAGGGCGGACAGCAAGAATTTAATGGCAGCGGTAGCCGATGCTGACGAAGCCTTGGGAGATATCGCTGGGAAATCGTCGAAGTACACCGAGCTCGGCACAAGGATGGCCTCATTCATAAGAAATGAAAGTGCTCGGCTCATGCGCACGAATCCATACACCGACCCCTCAGCCCCGAAGGGGAGGGACTCCGAGATGTAGTACAGAGGCAGTCCTTGTTCATCGTGGTGGCAGAGCACCACCAAGTGGCGCTGGGAACGAGGAACAGCCATCTGCTTGTAGGCTTTGGCTAGATCCACACATCGACCAAGCCACTCAGAGCCGGAGGGAAGCACTCGATCACCACAGAGCACATCACCAGTGGAAAGATCCATACGAATTTTATGCCGACCCGACATCTTGCCAGCCAGCTTGATCATCGCCACCACATAGTCGAGGTCTTGCAGACGAAGGCGCTCCGTGGAGGAGAAAGATGAGTTCAGACCCGAAGATTTGCAATCGTCGATAACCCGGGGCTTGGCCTTGGAGCCCTGAAGCAAAACAAAGCGTGGAGTTGCAATCCAGTCTGGCCTTCCCAAAGCCTCAGTAACTTCGGCCGCTGTTCGATATGGTCCCGAAATGAATCCAGCCGAAACCTCACCTTCACCAAGAGAAGTCAGAGTAGCAGCATCCTGGGGTGAAGAAGTTTTGAAGCTCACAAATTTCCGCCTCCAGGAAGATTCACGCTCCAGCTGTTCGGTGCTAACTGTTGCCGGGCGAAAACTACGATCGGCATAGGGAGGATGGTCCTGAGTGCCAGTCAAGGAAGGGCCGTCCCGAAGCATCTCCCAGACCCCAACATCGTCGTACCGGTACTCTTCCAGCAAGGTCTTAAAGAGGAGAAGTCGTTTTCCTTTAAGAACCTTCTGAAGCTCAGGAGAGAAAGAGCGATGTAGAGCCTCCTCATCGGGGCGAAGCTTCTCCGTCAAATGTGTTACATGCTCAAGGAAGGAGGCTCTCAAGCTTGCAACCTCGGCAGGGGTTTTAGTGAGGTTAGCGAACAGGGCTCTCTTGAAGGAGTCCGTGACAACGCTGGGACCCGCCATCGGGTGTTGAAGAGCACGAGCTCGCTGCACGAACTCCTCGGGAGTCGCATAAATGCCTATGGGGATCTTGTCAGAAACCTCCGAAGTCGAAACCGAAGGGGGCACCGAAGAGGGCCCAGAAGGAAGAGGACCAGAAGAAACCGACGAACCCAAGAGACCCTCAAAAGACCCCTCAGAAATGCTGAAGGCCCCGCGATGGGCCCCCTGCTCCGGCCGGAGGCATTTATGAGGGCAACTAGGCAAGTCGTCACGACGCAGCCACTTGATGCTGGAAAACTCAGGCATAAGCTGACGAGACTTACGTGTTTGTCGCACCTCATCTCCTGGCCGAGCCAGGGCAGGAGGTGGAGTGAAGGAGATCTCCTGACAACAAGCCTGGATCACAAGTTGCACAAACTGCGAAGGGTGTTGTTCGTTTTTGCACAAAAACCCAAAGGGGGCATGCTTGTGCCCGTCGCCCACTCCGGGGCACATGTGAACAAGTGAACGAAGCGCAGAAATGTTGGTGAGGAACTTGATCGAAGCTGGCCTAGAACCTCCAAGCATGCACATGTCACCGCAGAAAGCCTCCAGGGAGGCCTGACAAGACTGAAACTCTGGAAGAGATTCAAGGCAGCTCCAAAACAGGGAGCCATCAGGGTTCTCAATGCAAACGAAGGCCCCTTTAGCGAGAGCCCACACGAGAACCTTGGCACAGAAGCGAAAGAGGCGATTTTCTGCTTGGACCTGTGCCGACTGTCTAGGGTTAAGGTCTGCAAGACCCCAGGGCTTGTCATGTGACCTCAAAGGCGGGCACTTGTCAACTGCTGGGTGTGAAGACGGCAATGACCTGGCACGGGCTTTGTTCGCAGTGCGACAGGGAGGCCGAATGTACACAAAGGTCGGCCCAAAGTCCTCTAGAATATGCAAAGCAAAGTCCTGGCCAGTGGGACTCGACAACTCACAAACAAGGGGCTGGTGCTTGTGTCGCCCCGGAACCACATGTTGATCGATCGCTATGGTCTGCCATCCGATTCTGTTGAAGCTTGAGGCCAAAGCCCCATCACCTGAGAACACCTGAGCGAATGAGGCCGAAGCGCGAGGGGCGCCATCCGTGCCATGCAGCAGCCTAGGGGGATTAGGGTTAGGGTTCTGCAAGTCACCAGGCCCAGGCAGGCGAAAGCCCAAGCCGATCAGGGCTCCCTGATCTTCGGGACTGGCTTGATCGGAAAACAAAAAAAAAAAAAAGCCGGGGGCACACAACGCGCCAAAGGCAAGGCACGGGTTCGTCCCGCCCACTAAAAGTCCATCACCTTGTCCCCGGGAATGGCAATCCTCTTCAAGCTTTGGAGTCAGTGATCGGTCAGCCATTGCACTTGAGAGAACTTATCAAGGGGATCCCTCAGAAGCATCGGTCAGTAGAGGGGTTTCGTAAACGATCCAGAAGGGAAGAATGGGGGGGTGTAAAGAAAAAGCTGACGGGGTCACCTCCATGCCGCATTCAGGCCGTGGCGAGGGTCCATGCAAACGACGAGCTTTTTTCACGAATCGTCACCCTCCTGACAGATCCTGGAACCCCCAGGTATCGTGATTGTTCTTTGCTCGAGAAAGTTTCCGGGAGGTAACCCCTCGTTAGAGGGAAATCAAACCCCCTGGGAAGCCTGCATATGGGGGGGGTCGCCTTCCAGGACTTTTGGCAGCAGTAGCCCAGGATCTAGGATACGGTTTAAATCCGGGAGGAGGGCACCAACAGGCACCTCCTCCTGCCCTCCCACTGGAAAGAGAGGAACTGCCTACGCGGAGCAAGCGGTTGAAGGGCAAGGATCGGATCAAGAACATGGTGAAAGTGAGCATGTGGAGCTGGAAAAGGTCCAGCTTAGACCCAGGGTTTCGCAGGCCGCGCATCGGTTTGAAGAGGAAGCGAGAGGAGAGCGAGAGTTCGGACAGCAGCGGGAGGTCAGTAAGCCACGACTTGTCCGATCAGGAGGACTTATTTCCCGAAGAGGCGCAATCCAGGCACATGGCAAGAAAGTGTCCAGGGCTACTGGCGCGTCATGCCATCAAGGAAGCTCGCAAGAGGGAGTTGACAGAATTCGGGGAGGAGACTTCGCACCAACAGCCTGTGCCAGTCTTCGTCAGATATTTCCGGCAGATTTTCAATCATTCGGGAGCTTCGACTCCTATGAAACGCGAATACCTGACTCTCGCACATTGCCTGGATTCTATATTAGAGGGGAATGTTTTGAAGTGTCTGGATATCGCGGTCCAGCGGTTGAAAGCAGTAGAGCAAATCAGTCAAGGAGTATCTCCCGCGACGGCGAATCGCATGGAGCTCATCCCAGCCGAGGTTCTCTCACTAGCATCGGCCGAAGAAAAGCGAACAGCCGCCCAGGAACACAAGCGGGAGTTGAAAACCACTTGGAACATCAGCTCCTGGAGCCCGGGCTCTTGGAATTCGAAGGGGAAAGGTTGGGGAAAGCCCTCCATCGAAGATGCGGGAGCCAAAGGCGAGAAGGGATACAAAGGCGGAAAAGGCAAGGACTGGAAAGGAAAGCCGGGCGGAAAGGGGAAAGCCTTGAAAGGAGCTCCAGCCCCCTCGAGCGAAGTAGTTCCAGTGAGGGATTAGTCAGCATAGTTTCAGTTGTTGACTCCCCGTTAGAGGTGGACCAGAATGATGACGAGGTCATTCCAGAAAGTAGTCCTCCTGCAAGCCATGTTTCTCCTGAGTTTCGGGAGGGGCAGGAAAGCGTTGAAGATGAACGGGGGGAGTGCGGTACGATAATGAGCGCATGCGAGGTGGGTGATCGGTTCTCTCCTGAAATTCGGGAGGGTCCTGCCTTGGAATTTCCTCGAGATCTGAGTGGACCCTTGATTCAGCTGGGGCCCTTGCTAAGCCGTTGGATTCGCCTCCAAACCCCCGCAGATCGAGTCACTGCGAGCGTAGATTCAAGCAAGCATCACTCCACGGCAGAGGTTTTCCCTTTGCCCATGCCGGGCGGCGACATGTCTCCGCACTTGCATGCTTGGTTGGAGGCGGCCGTCAGGGCCTTGAACTGGCTGGCACTAGGGTTATTGGTTATAGGCGAGGGTCCATGTACTGTCGCACAAGAATCTCTGTTAAGTGAGCTGCGAACTGGTTTCGGAAACCTTTGTACTCTCTCAGAGGAAGAATTTGACAGCTCTCCGATTGAGAGCTATTGGAAGTCACGCAGTGTAAATGGGTATGGTGAGGAAGTGCATAGTGCCTTGTATTTCCGTTGGGCCAATGTGGAGCACAGCTTGCCGAAGCGAGAGCTCGCCGGAGCTCTTGATGGTGTTAGTGTAGCCTCAGGGGGTATCAAAGATTTCTTGGCTAACCCATTGCGGTATCTGAAGCCGGAGAATGCACGGACATGGATGACAACACCCAGAGTGATGGTCTCTAATGATGATTGGCCGGAGGTAGCAGCAGGTCTGGTTGAGCGTCGGATTTGTGAGGTCATTCCTTTAAGCCAAGTGATTCATGTGCAGGGCAAGCCCATCCTCGGGGGCCTTTTCGGGGTGCCGAAGATGGAGGAAATTGATGGGGTTCCTGTGTTGAGACTTATCATGGATCTGAGGCCGATCAATCAGTTGTTTGAAGCCGTCGCTGGAGACCTGCATACATTGCCCATGCTGAGCCAACTGTTTCCGTTGGAAATATTCCCAGAGGAAGACATTCTAGTGTCGTCTGAGGATATAAAGGCGATGTTTTACATTGTGGGGTTGAGTGAAGAATGGAGGCCCCTCCTAGCCTTCGGGAGGGAAGTCCCAAACCACATGCGGCCAGCCGGAGTATCAGAGCCTTGCGTTCTCTCCAGTAGGGTGTTGCCAATGGGTTTCATCAACTCGGTTTCGGTGGCTCAGACTCTGCATCGAAACATCGTCCACATAGCGATTGATCGTTTGGGGATAAGCCGCGAAGCAGAAGTAAGGCGTGACCAACCTTTGCCCATCTCTAGTCAAGCCTACCGGGCTTATTTGGATAATTTTGACCTGCTCCAGCGCACCAATCGGGAGGCTTCACGTCTCCTGAGCGGGAAACTTAGCGCAGAGGCCCTTGCTCTGCGTCAGGTTTACGAGGAGTTGGATATCCCTGTAAACGAGAAAAAATCAGTTAAGACTCAACTCTTGGGGGAGATGCAAGGGGGGTTGATTGATGGGAAGAAAGGCATCGTCAGCCCGAAGCCTGACAAAGTGGCTAGATACCTGCGGGGTGTTTGGTATCTCCTTCAGAGTAAGACAACGGATTTGAAGCGCATCCAAATGGTCGCTGGGGGTCTTGTTTATTTATTCAGCTACAAAAAGTGTTTGATGAGCTGCCTGAATGTGATTTGGGAGTTTATCTCCAGTTTCGGAGGGCGTTTGGGAGTTTGGAAACCTATTCCCAATCAAGTTCGTGAGGAGTTGTTTTGTTGCGCCTCACTATCTCCCCTTGCCTACATCAACTTAAGAGCTCCTTACGATGCCACCGTCACTGCCAGTGATGCCTCTGAAAGTGGAGGAGGTTTGTCCTTCAGTTGTGGTTTGACTCCCTTCGGTGCGAATGCTGCGACCAAGTCAGTTCGGGGTCTCGTTACCGAGAGTCCTGATGACGATCAGGTTTTGGTGATCTCTCTCTTTGATGGTATTGGCGCATGCCGTGTTGCACTTGACGTTCTTCGTGCCAAGGTGGGAGGATATATTGCTGTGGAGGCCGATGCTTCTGCAAGACGAGTTGTGGAAAGCGTATTTGGTACCACAGAGTTTGTGCATTCTGTTGAAGAGATTTCTAGCGACTTGGTGAAGGTTTGGGCTTGTCGATTTTCTCGAACCAAGCTAGTCTTAATCTCAGCAGGCACTCCATGCCCAGTAGTTGCAGGATTGAGCGCTTCTCAGTTGGGTTTCGAAAATGAATCTCGATCAGGCCTTCATTCCCACGTATCCCGCGTGCGCGGTTTGATTCAGAAGCATTTCAATTGGGCGGAAACTTTTGTGTTGATGGAAAGTGTAGCATCCCTGTCTGATGCCGATCGTGCTCGTATGAGTCGAGGAGTGGGGATATTGCCATTTGAATTGGATGCAGCAGGACTGACTCCTTGCAGACGTTCTCGGTTGTTTTGGTTCAACTGGAAGATTTCTCTAGAGCGCGGAGTCACCATAGAGAACCCACTCACATCAGAAGCCGAGGATTACGGGAGAATTAGTTTTCTCCTTGAGTGTGATCCTGGCCCTTATCTCAGACCGGGTTGGACCTTGGCGGGAGGCAAACAGCACAAGCTTCCGACTTTCGCGGCGTCTCAGCCGAAGGCGCAGCCTGGGTTCAAACCGGCAGGGATAGAAAGTTGCAATCCTCGTGATTTGGAACACTGGGAAAAGGACAATTTCAGATTTCCGCCTTATCAGTACAAGTATCAGCATGGGGTCATTCATGCTAGACATGGTTGGAGGGTTCCAAATGCTTGCGAGAGGGAAGCTATGCTTGGTTTTCCTCTTGATTATACTTGCCAGGCTTGGTCAAAGAGCGATCGTAAGCGCGATCCTACGGGTTGGAATGATTGTAGACTCAGCTTGTTGGGAAACTCCGGGTCCGTCCCGGTCGTTGCATTTCTCTTGCAGAACCTGTTGAGCTCTCATAAACTCTGTGATGAGATGAGTTTGTGTGAGCTTCAGTGTCGTTGCCAGCCGGGTTCCAATCCCAGCCTTAATGGGTTTCTGAGCCGACCGCCTTGGACCCCAGCTTTTCAAGCCCAGACTTCTGAGAATGACGTAGGCTTGATACGGAAACTAGGGTCGCTTCTGTCTAGCCGGGGAACGGATGTATTACTGCAATCGGTCACTGAGCCTCTCCAGAGTTACGATAGGCTGCGCACATCAGTTCCTTCATCCCTTTGGAAATGGCGCACAGCATGCAGCTGGAAATGGCGCATGTTGCCATGTGGGGAAACCGAACATATCAACCGCCTCGAGCTTCGGGCGCTGTTGACAGCAGTTAAGTGGAGGGCGCTCAAACAGAAATGCAAGGGAAAACGGTTTATGCATTTGGTGGACAGCCTCGTAAGCCTACACGTAGTAAACAAGGGGCGAAGTTCGAGCCGAAAACTCCGAAACGTGATGAAAAGGATCAGTGCGTGGTTGTTAGTGTCGTCGAATTCGTGCGTACTCGGGTATGTAGACACTGGACAGAACCCTGCAGATGCGCCGTCGCGGCGCGGTCAGAAACGAAAATGGTCCGCACCAAAGAGGTAGTTGAAGGAAATACCCGAGAAGCACGAAAGACACGACGACAACAATTAGGAAAGCTAAAAAATCTTGTCATTCAGCCACGCACTCTCCAGCGATACAAAATCGCCATGAAACACTTTTTGGATTTCCTCACCTGGAATGCTTTCACTCTCCCTTCGTGTTACGAAGAAGTAGATCGTCTGGCTGGTATGTACATTGAGCAGTTATGGGAGGAAGGCGATCCGCTATACCTTGCTCAGGATGTCTTGTCCAGTTTGCAACATTTTGAGGCTCAGTTGAAGCGCCGTTTGTTGCAGAGTTGGAGGTTGATCAAAGCCTGGCAAAAGCACGAGATTCCCAGTAGGGCTCCTCCCCTTACTCCGTCCACCCTCGCTGTGCTTGCAGGCTACCTGCAGCGAAAAGCGCCTGAGGTTGCACTGGGTGTCGTAGTCGCTTTTTACGGTCTCCTGCGAACGGGAGAATTACTTCAAATAAGGAATAAGGACATAATCTGCAAACGCGATTTCGTACTCATACATTTAGGTTCCACTAAAACGGCAGTGCGTAACGCAGGGACTGAAAGCACGTCATTTTCAGATGGAAAGCTCAGCATCATGCTCCAAGCTTGGAAAAGCGTGCATGCACCGGATGCCCTCTTGATTGACATGCCTTCCGCCACTTTTCGGCAATGGTTTGCGAGAGGGCTTGAAGCTACGGGATTGGACTCCAGGTATAAGCCCTACAGCTTGCGAAGGGGAGGAGCCACGCAAACATTTCTAGATACCCAGTCCTATTCGTCAGTTTGCCAGCGGGGGCGATGGGCCTCTGAAAGAACATGTCGCATTTACATCCAGGATTCAATTGCGCTTCTTACGGAAGTCTCTGTAAATCTCACATGGGAACAACGAGAGTATTATACTCTTTGGACAAATCTTTTGAGCAGGCTTGAGCATCCCAGCAAAGCTGGAAGTAAAAGGGGACGTGGAAGGTAGCTTATACAGCATGTTCCGTGCAAATTCCTGTTTATGTGCTGAGACCAGGCACCTGATTGTAAGAAGATTTGAGCGCGGATGCTCATGATGCGGTCCCAGCAGGGGTTACGACTCAAAGAGTCCCCCATGCGAGGCATGTGAAATGCAGCTTTCAAGAAGCTTTTATGCTCAGTTCTCATTTGTTCTACAACTTTGATGCTTGCTTGAAAAAGCGTATGGTGCCAGAAGGAGTTTCCTTGAAGCTGCGGACCCGCGATTTAGGAAACCCCGCGGCAACATATCGGCTAACAGCCTGCTTCATCGGTCCCAGCCCACCCTGCCCGAGGGGGAAGGTAGCTTATACAGCATGTTTCGTGCAAATCCCTGTTTATGTGCTGAGACCAGGCACCTGATTATAAGAAGATTTGAGCGCGGATGCTCATGATGCGGTCCCAGCAGGGGTTACGACTCAAAGAGTCCCCCATGCGAGGCATGTGAAATGCAGCTTTCAAGAAGCTTTTATGCTCAGTTCTCATTTGTTCTACAACTTTGATGCTTGCTTGAAAAAGCGTATGGTGCCAGAAGGAGTTTCCTATTTCTTTGTAATTTCTTTTTTGAAAAATCAGATATAAAATCGGAAGAGGTCTAGATTATGAATTTCTATTAGGTCTATAAAATATAGAACGTTGTCGCGTTCGATGTCTTTGATAATTTTTCTTGTTTTCTGATTTTTTAAATAAAATGCCGGCGTCATTTGCGGTCTTAGTTGTGCGCGATCTAATCTTTCGGCCGAGGGGCTCTAAATATTCTGGATATTTTGGGAGCTCTCCCCCCTCCTTCCTAAAATATTCAGAATATTTTGAGAGCCTCCCTCCTCTCAATCTATATTGTATGATATTGGGATGCGATATTTATATTTATTACGATGCGTTCTGTTATTGGTTTGTGAAGTGTTTAGGGTTTGTGGGATCTGCGGAATAGCCGGGTTTCGTTGTGTTTGTAGTGTCTGCGGGGTTTGTGGGGTTTGTATGTTCTGTGGGGTCTGCGGAGTTTCTGCGGTCTGAGGGGTTCTGTGTATCGTTTGTGGCGTCGAAGAGGGGGGGGTTGAGGGTTTGTGGGATCTGTGGAATAGAGGTTTTGAGGTGTTTGTCTGTAAAATCTCCGGGGTTCGTATTTTTTCTTCATAAATATTGAGCCTTCGAATTTCCGTTTTTATTTTAAATGAATCTCTTATTCTTGAGTTATTGTATTCTGAATAAAATTGTAATTTTATATAATTCTAAAATAGTGTCGAAATCTTGATTTCTTCAAATCCGGAAATTCTGCGAAATAATAAATGGTAGTCTTTTTTACTAAATCGATTCTTAGGTTTCGTTGTTGATTTATTTTGAACTAATTCGTATAGTTCTTGCGAGCGTTTCTTTCTTCTTCCTGATTCGTCGTAAAAACTATATTGTTGGAAGTAGCGGCTTAATTCTATTAATATTGATCTGAGTGGGATTTAAATTGATATTAGATTGGACGTAAAAGAATATGACAAGCAACTTTTAATTTCGCGGACCTTACGAAAGAATTCTTCGAATATAATATATCTAAGAAAGAATCGATGATTTACTCTCTGATAAAAATGATACCGCGCTAATTATTAAAGATCAATTAATTTAATTCAATATAAACTCATATTGAAAATATACGAAATCATTAATCTCTCCTAAATTAATTTAATTTGAATCAAGCAAGTTTTCTAAAGATATTCTAAATCAATCTAAAATAAATATATTATCATGAATCTTAATTAAATATATTCTTCTAGATCAATATGATAGTCTAGAATATAGAAGATTCTAAGAAATACATCAAATGTGAAATTAAATTAGATTTATATAAAAAAAGAAAAATTCGATTTTTCGTATGTATTTAAAGAATAAATATAATTCTTCACCTCTAAAGAATATCATAGACCTCTCGATAATTACTCGCACCATATTTTGCGAAGAATTTTTTTTAATTATTTTAATTATTTTAATTCTTGATATATCATGATTATATTATATCTATCTCAAATAGGATCTTCTTCTCATGATATAATTCTAGGAATTCCCTATTCTGAAAGATATTTTTGACTATCGTCATTCTATTGAGAAAATATAAGAAATTATCTCATAGTAGGCTGCGTACTTCGAATTTTGAATTTGAGAAAAATTTATTATTATTGAAGATAAGGACGAATTTATATAGAATATCCAAAAATTGTATAAAAAAAATCCGCATTCGATAACGAATTGGATTAGAATACGAGGGAAATATTATTCTCGTTCCGAGGTCATTTGAATAATTTGAGTAGTAGTATATCGATCATAATATAGAAAATTGAAATATAAATATTCATCGTCGCTATTATCATCAGATCTAAATATAGAAGGGATCTGATAATATAACACTCGACGAAAGATTCAACGAAATCTATCTAGATAACAGGAATAATCAAAGAATAAAAATAAATTCTTGGATTCTCCAGGAGAAGCATATTAGAATTATTTGATTATATATGATTAATCATATTTATATAATGATAAATATAATATAACGATCTCGTTCTATTATCAAAAGGAATGAGATATCTTTATTATTATCTTTATTATTCCAATATCTAGAAATTAAAGGAGATTTCCCGAGGGAATATATTAATTATTCGGATAATTATCAAGATTTTGAAAAATAAATATTGATATTAAAGAATATTTTAGCAAAGCTACGATATATAATAGATGATCAAGAAATGAAATCTGATATAATAAGGAGTCGTAGGTAATTTCTATTTCTAGCTATAAATTCGGATCCGGGAGATCTATATTAGAAATAATTTCAATAAAGAATATCTCGTAAGCAAAATGAATCG